TAAGTAAGTAAGTAAGTAAGTAAGTAAGTAAGTAAGTAAGTAAGTAAGTAAGTAAGTAAGTAAGTAAGTAAGTAAGTAAGTAAGTAAGTATGTAAGTATGTATGTAAGTAAAATTTTACTTACAGAGTGCCTTTCACAGAAATGGAATTCACAAGGTGCTGTACAATAATCAATAATATAGAAAGAGTTGATAGGCAGAAGGTGTTGTACAATAATCGAACACAAATAGAAAAAAAGAAATATTTGACATATACATTACAAATGATGAAATTCCGGTCAATACATTCTCAAGTTTTTTGAATAGTAGGGGGCATGGAATAACAATGATGGAGAAAAAAGTATTTAAGTTATTTACAATAGATAAACTTGCTTATCTTTTGTATATAAGTCCATGGAAGCCCAACATATAATGAATTACCTACGGTATTTCTAATTCTGTTCCAGTGTTTTCCGGAAAAAAAAAATACCCACCGCTAAAGACTGATGAGGTACAATAAGGGTGACAAAATAATCAAAAGGTGAAATAAAGAGCAAATGTTTCAAGAAATAATCCAAATTGTCTTTACTTGGGGCTCTGTTGTGTGTCAGAGACAGAATCACTGTTTTGGCTAAATGTCAGAAAAAACTGGAGAGACAGAAGCCAGGACAATAAACATATTATCCACCAAATTATTCAAAGTGTACCTTCAGTGACAAGGTATCAAGATGAGAAAAATATTGAACAATACTGGGAGAAGCATGTTGAAAGAATTACAGTTTGTGTAATGCCTTCAAAGCTTTCTGACTTTATGTCCTAATAAATTCCCCCAGCAATTTACCAAAGAAAGAACCACTGACTGTGATGGTACTAAACACCAAAACCAGTTTCTCAATAATGAAGAGTTGTACCTTTGGCTGGCACCAGCCCATTAAATGATTCACACCTACTGGATAGAAAAAGTTAGCACTTTTTACAAACACCTTACAGTCCAAATGAATCAGATGCCAGGCTTTTCTGATTTCAACAGAGCGGTTCCATAACACAAACAACCAATAACCTACTTGTTCACAAAATGGAAGCTCCTATCAATATCATGATGGCAAAGTGAGTGAGGCCCAGAAAAGATTTAGAAGCAACGTTGGTGGAGTCAAGAGCAAGTTCCTGGTCAAAAAACAGACTGGAGGGCCAAACATACACCTGGAGTGATTACAAGAACGCCTACGACAAATCAGTGACAAATCACAAATGGACATTGAATTGCTTGGAACGCTACATCAACTGGATCCATGAGCCTTCATAAAGAGCTCAATAAAACAGTGAATCAATGGTTGGCCATGTCTTCATCTAACATGAATATACACAACAATAACAGAATGTCACGCAGAAAAGGCAATAACTACTGAGGGTCGTGAACTACCAGGACACATTTTGAGGACCATTTCAATTACTTTAGGAAGAAATGACAATCATGAAATAGTTGGAAAAATCTTCCAAAAGCAAGTAATTACAGACAATAAGGCAAGTAAAACCACAGCACAAGTCATTTCTCAGATGTCTTGCTGGTAGAGCAGCCTGACCAAAAGAAGAGGTAGGAGTCTTAAAGAAAACTTCTCAATGCACGGATGGTTTCACACTAAATTCAGAACTCCAATACTGTATATCATGCGGAAAAAGCGACATACAGTATTCTGTGCAACTGTTCTGCTGTAATAAAAATTCAGCTTGCAGGGATATTGCTCATATCTGTTAATGCAAATGTATTCTGACACATGAAAACTTGTTTTTCCAATAGCCAATACTGCTTTAAGCTTTATTAACACATTGCTTGAGTTGCTTAAACATGCGACATTGAATCAAGATGTGCAATGAAAATCAGGGCCCCGAGGCTTTAGCTCTTTTCTGTTGGATGGCTGGACTAGAAAGTTACAAGCCAGAGAGCTCACATGTAAAGTAAGTGCAGTGATGTCAAAGACAGCTAAACTCATTAAACAAACAAACAGCTTAATAATGAACAGAAATACCGTAATCACTTTATCATCACTTTTCAGACACTATTTAATTAGAGCAAATTAATCCATTAAACTGTTCATAGCATGATCTATGATGAACCTGACTGTTCAGAAAGTGTTGATTTACACATACTATGAACTGCACTAAATGAACTTGTATTTTAAAACTAAATAGTTCCTATGTGCCATTACAAAGACAATGGAGCAGCAGTAAAATCATTCACTTTAAGGTGTATCTGTTAGACCTATCTGTAATACGCCTGTCTCATTTGTGTATTTACTTTGTATTTCATGTTGAGATACCTAAGAAAATAATGTCACGTTAGCTCTTTACCTATCTGATTCTGTAGCAGATGAAGTGATCTCCAGCAACACTAAAATGCAACAGATTTACTGGTCATGTCAAAACGTGCCCTTAGCAAGAGTGTCAAAACATTTTGATATTAGTACCAGCTACATCACGGCATTTCTAGTTTTATTGGTTGCACAATCTGCTCGATCGCTTGATATGCACAAACATCTTTCTGCTTGTCATTTTTGGTTTGGATTTTACTTGAAAATGAGGATGTTATGGAAATATTTATTTAACAAAGACAGAAATAGTCCAAGAATGAAGGGACTCTGTGGAATGATC